TCCGTGTGTAGTCCATGTGCTGTCTGTGTGTAGGCTGTGTGCTGTACAGTTAGTGTGTAGTCTGTGTGCTCTACAGTTAGTGTGCGGTTTGTGTGCAGTTTGTATTCAGTCAGTGTGCAGTTTGTATGCAGTCAGTGTGCGGTTTCTGTGCAGTCAGTGTGCGGTTTGTATGCTGTCAGTGTGCAGTTTGTGCAGTTTGTATGCAGTCAGTGTGCGGTTTGTGTGCAGTTTGTATGCAGTCAGTGTGCGGTTTGTGTGCAGTTTGTATGCAGTCAGTGTGCGGTTTGTATACAGTCAGTGTGTGGTCATCATACAGTTATTACTGACAATCCAATAGAAGCTTACTAGAAACCTTTCCTTTCACGCTGTGAGTTCTGCCCGTCTGCTGGCATCTCTTTCCACAACTTCCTGCATCCCCAGCATGCTTTTCAGTTTCTCCTCCATTTCTAAGGACTACATATCCCATGGTACCTTGCTGCCTGCCATCAGAGATTCCTGGACGGACTCCGCCTCCTGGACCTCCCCTCTCAGAAGGTGGGCTCTGTGAAATGTGTGACACAGCAGTGCTGCTCACAGAACCTAGTGAATGAGTGGGGGGGGGATCTTCGTCATCGTTGTTCATATTACGACGGGTTTGCGAGAAATGATTGGAATGCAATGCGGGAATGAATGTTGGATTTTACATTTTCACCATAGATAGACTTTATCAATATGGGAACATAAAATCCATACAATGTGCAGCAACCAATCAGTTTCCACCTTTTGAACAGTCAGAAAAATCAGTGACAGTCATGATTGGTTGCTGCAGATGACTGCTCTTTACCCATTGGCCTTCTCCCTGACACACACGCGTGCCATACTGCTCCCTGGGGGTTGGTGACAGGTTCTGGTTACTGGGGTTATGGAGCCAGGGTCCGACCCGCCAACTGCCATCTGATCCGCACCATATATTCATGGAAACAGTTCGATCGATACCAGATTCAGATGTTGGATTTGTTCCTCAGCCCATTACAGTCATCTGGGAGCATTACAGAGGCCTGGAGGAGCATGTATAGGAGGAGGGGTATTGGTTAAGTATGGACCAGCTGTGTCTGGGGCTGTAGATGCGGCTCATCTGAGTGACATCGGGTCAGAGACATCCTCTCCTGAGGGAGTATTGACTTTCCTGGAGGTTCGGAGAATACCGCAGAGAATTACATGGAATATACTATAGACCTTGGTTGGAGATGGAAGAGATGTCTGATGGCCTTGAAATCATCTTTAACCATCTCCTGGCCCTGATATCATTTCACTGATCATCAATAATGGGACTTGAATCTCCTGACCTGATCCAAAAGCTGGACTTTCCATCAGAAAATGAATGGAGCTTCATGGAAAGTGGATGAAAATCTCCCAGAAATACTGTCCCAAAGTTCTCCGAGCTGACAGGTAATTTTGTTGAGTATGGACCAGCTGTGTCTGGGGCTGTAGATGAAGCTCATCTGGGTGTCATTTAGTCATTCTCTCCTCAGGTGGTATTGACTTTCCTGAAGGTACAGATAGCACAGCAGAAGATTATGGGGAATATACTATAGACCTTGACTGGAGATGGAACAGATGTCTGATGGCCTTGAAATCAACTTTAACCATCTCCTGGCCCCGATATCATTTCACTGATCATCAATAATGGGACTTGAATCTCATGACCTGATCCTAAGGCTGGACTTTCCATCAGAAAAATTAATGGAGCTTCCTGGAAAGTGGATGAAAATCTCCCAGAAATACTGGCCCAAAGTTGTCCGAGCTGACAGGTAATTTTGTTGAGTATGGACCAGCTGTGTCTGTGGCTGTAGATGAGACTCATCTGGGTGTCATTTGGTCATTCTCTCCTCAGATGGTATTGACTTTCCTGAAGGTACAGATAACACAGCAGAAGATTATGGGGAATATACTATAGACCTTGACTGGAGATGGAACAGATGTCAGATGGCCTTGAAATCATCTTTAACCATCTCCTGGCCCTGATATAATTTCACTGATCATCAATAATGGGACTTGAATTCCCTGACCTGATCCTAAGGCTGGACTTTCCATCAGAAAATATATGGATCTTCATGGAAAGTGGATGAAAATCTCCCAGAAATACTGTCCCAAAGTTCTCCGAGCTGACGGGTAATTTTGTTGAGTATGGACCAGCTGTGTCTGTGGCTGTAGATGAGACTCATCTGGGTGTCATTTGGTCATTCTCTCCTCAGATGGTATTGACTTTCCTGAAGGTACAGATAACACAGCAGAAGATTATGGGGAATATACTATAGACCTTGAATGGAGATGGAACAGATATCTGATGGCCTTGAAATCATCTTTAACCATCTCCAGGCCCTGATATCATTTCACTGATCATCAATAATGGGACTTGAATCTCCTGACCTGATCCAAAAGCTGGACTTTCCATCAGAAAATGAATGGAGCTTCATGGAAAGTGGATGAAAATCTCCCAGAAATACTGTCCCAAAGTTCTCCGAGCTGATGGGTAATTTTGTTGAGTATGGACCAGCTGTGTCTGGGGCTGTAGATGAGGCTCATCTGGGTGTCATTTTTTCATTCTCTCAGGTGGTATTGACTCTGCAGACATATTGGCCCAAAGTTCTCTGAGTTGACAGGTAATTTTGTTGAGTATGGACCAGCTGTGTCTGGGGCTGTAGATGAGGCTCATCTGGGTGTCATTTGGTCATTCTCTCCTCAGATGGTATTGACTTTCCTGAAGGTACAGATAGCACAGCAGAAGATTATGGAGAATATACTGTAGACCTTGACTGGAGATGAAACAGATGTCTGATGGCCTTGAAAATAATCTTCAGCCATCTCCAGGCCCTGATATCATTTCACTGATCATCAATAATGGGACTTGAATCTCCTGGCCTGATCCAAAAGCTGGCCTTTCCATCAGAAAATGAATGGAGCTTCATGGAAAGTGGATGAAAATATCCCAGAAATACTGGCCCAAGGTTCTCCAAGCTGACAGGTAATTTTGTTGAGTATGGACCAGCAGTGCCTGGGGCAGTAGATGAGGCTCATCTGGGTGTCTTTTGGTCATTCTCTCCTCAGGTGGTATTGACTTTCCTGAAGGTACAGATAACACAGCAGAAGATTATGGAGAATATACTGTAGACCATGACTGGAGATGGAACAGATGTCTGATGGCCTTGAAATCATCTTCAGCCATCTGCAGGCCCTGATATTTCACTGATCATCAATAATGGGACTTGAATCTCCTAAGGTGATCCAATGGCTGGACTTTCCATCAGAAAATGAAATGAGCTTCCAGGAAAGTGGGGGAAAATCTCCCAGAAATACTGGCCCAAAGTTCTCTGAGTTGACAGGTAAGACATCCAGCACCTGAAGCAGCAAAGCAACCACAAAACATCAGTGACCCCCACCATGTGTGACTGGAGGGACTATTCTTTTCATTAAACACCTCATTGATTTTTCTGAAAACAGTAGAATGATGGGCTTTACCAAAAAGCTGCCATTTTGCTTTGTCCGTCCACAGCACATTCTCCCAAAAGGATTTTGGCTTCCTCAGGTAAGTTTTGGCAAACTCCAATCTGGCTTTTTTATGTTTCCTTTTCAGCAGCGGGGTCCTCCTGGGTCTCCTCCCGTATTTCTGTGTCAGCGGTGGGGTCCTCCTGGGTCTCCTACCATATTTCTGTGTCAGCAGTGGGGTCCTCCTGGGTCTCCTCCCATATTTCTGTGTCAGCAGTGGAGTCCTACTGGGTCTCCTACTATATTTCTGTGTCAGCAGTGGGGTCCTCCTGGGTCTCCTCCCATATTTCTGTGTCAGCAGTGGGGTCCTCCTGGGTCTCCTCCCATATTTCTGTGTCAGCAGTGGGGTCCTCTGGGGTCTCCTACCATATTTCTGTGTCAACGGCGGCGTCCTCCTTGGTCTCCTCCCATATTTCTGTGTCAGCGGTGGGGTCCTCCTGGGTCTCCTCCCATATTTCTGTGTCAGCAGTGGGGTCCTCCTGGGTCTCCTCCCATATTTCTGTGTCAGCAGTGGAGTCCTTCTGGGTCTCCTACCATATTTCTTTGTCAGCAGTGAGGTCCTCCTGGGTCTCCTCCCATATTTCTGTGTCAGCAGTGGGGTCCTCCTGGGTCTCCTCCCTAATTTCTGTGTCAGCGGTGGGGTCCTTCTGGGTCTCCTCCCATATTTCTGTGTCAGCAGTGAGGTCCTCCTGGGTCTCCTCCCATATTTCTGTTTCAGCAGTGGGGTCCTCCTGGGTCTCCTCCCATATTTCTGTGTCCGCAGTGGAATCCTTCTGGGTTTCCTACCATATTTCTGTGTCAGCGGTGGGGTCCTCCTGGGTCTCCCACCATATTTCTGTGTCAACAGTGGGGTCCTCCTGGGTCTCCTCCCATATTTCTGTGTCAGCGGTGGGGTCCTCCTGGGTCTCCTCCCATATTTCTGTGTCAGTGGTGGGGTCCTTCTGGGTCTCCTCCCATATTTCTGTGTCAGCAGTAGGGTCCTCCTGGGTCTCCTACCATATTTCTGTGTCAGCAGTGGGGTCCTCCTGGGTCTCCTACCATATTTCTGTGTCAGCAGTGGGGTCCTCCTGGGTCTCCCACCATATTTCTGTGTCAGCGGTGGGGTCCTCCTGGGTCTCCTCCCATATTTCTGTGTCAGCGGTGGGGTCCTCCTGGGTCTCCTCCCATATTTCTGTGTCAGCGGTGGGGTCCTCCTGGGTCTCCTACCATATTTCTGTGTCAGCAGTGGGGTCCTCCTGGGTCTCCTCCCATATTTCTGGAAGGAAGTTGATTGAGGTTCTTTATCCACCATTCGAACAATGCTTTGCTGCAATCTTTGATCAATTTTTTTAGTCCACATCCAGGGAGATTAGCTCCAGTGCCATGGGCTGGAAACTTCTTGACAATGTTGCGCACAGCGGACACAGGAACATTAAGATTTCTGAAGATGGACTTGTAACCTTGAGATTGTCCATGCTTTTCCACTATTTTTGTTCTCCAATCCTCAGACAATTCTTTGCTGCTCTTTCTCTTCTCCATGCTCCATGTGGCACACAGAGACACCCAACAGAAAGGTACATTTTTTTACCATTTTAGCTGGTAGTCAGTGTGATTTCTATATTGTCAGCACCTGTTAACCACTTCCAGTCCGGACACTTTCCCCCCCTTCCAGTCCGGACACTTTCCCCCCCTTCCAGTCCGAACACTTTCACCCCCCTTCCAGTCCGGACACTTTCACCCCCTTCCAGTCTGGACACTTTTACCCCCTTCCAGTCCGGACACTTTCACCCCCTTCCAGTCCGGACACTTTCACCCCCTTCCAGTCCGGACACTTTTCACCCCCTTCCAGTCCGGACACTTCCCCCCCCCCCCCCCTTCCAGTCCGGACACTTTTCTCCCCCCTTCCAGTCCAGACACTTTCCCCCCCATCCAGTCCGGACACTTCCCCCCCTTCCAGTCTGGACACTTTCCCCCCCTTCCAGTCCGGACACTTTCCCCCCCTTCCAGTCTGGACACTTTCACCCCCCTTCCAGTCCGGACACTTTCACCCCCTTCCAGTCTGGACACTTTTACCCCCTTCCAGTCCGGACACTTTTACCCCCTTCCAGTCCGGACACCTCCAGTCCGGACACTTTTCACCCCCTTCCAGTCCGGACACTTTCACCCCCTTCCAGTCCGGACACTTTCACCCCCTTCCAGTCTGGACACTTTCCCCCCCTTCCAGTCCGGACACTTTCACCCCCTTCCAGTCCGGACACTTTCACCCCCTTCTAGTCCGGACACTTTTCACCCCCTTCCAGTCCGGACACCTTCACCCCCTTCCAGTCCGGACACTTCCCCCCCCCTTCCAGTCCGGACACTTTCACCCCCTTTCTAGTCCGGACACTTTCACCCCCTTCCAGTCCGGACACTTTCACCCCCTTCCAGTCCGGACACTTTCCCCCCCCTTCCTGCCCAGGCCAATTTTCAGCTTTCAGCGCTGTCGCACTTTGAATGACAATTGCGCGGGTCATACAACCCTGTACCCGTATGAATTTTTTAGCATTTTTTTTTGAGACAGATAAAACTTTATTTTGGTGGAATTTATTCACCGCTGGGATTTTTTTTTTTGCTATATAAAGGAAAAAGTCCCAAAATTTTGAAAAAAGTGTTTTTCTTATAAAATTTTGCAAATAATCTTTCTTCATAAATCTTGGCCAAAATGTATTCAGTTATCTTTTTAGTAAAAAAAAAAAAATAACCCAAATTAGTTTATAACCAAAAATTTGTCATACATTTTTATTTATTTTTTTTTATATTATTATTTATGTTTTTTTTTAACATACTGTCACCCTAGCAGTACAGTGTCACCATAGTGACACTGTACTACTTGTGGGGGGTGATATTTATTTATTTTATTTACACTGATTGTTTTTACACCCATAAAGGCTGTAAAATCAATCATTTCTCCTTCTCTCTGGCTGCATTCTTGCAGCCATTGAGAAATACTGTGAGAGCTGTGATTGGTCACAGCTTGTCACATGGTACAAGGCTGTTGTGAATAGCCCTGTACCGTGTGATCTCTGTGATCATTCACAGATTTCACATGTAGTAAGCAAGGATGTCAGAAGTGACATCCTTGCTTACTACTCTGCATGTGATCACTGATTGGCCAATCAGTGATCACATGATTGGGACCTCGCGGAGAGGTCCCATACGACGATTGGTGTTCCACTGCGTCCGGAGGACACAGCGGGCACCGGATCGCGGTGCTGCGCACTTCCCAGGGAGCGCGCACAATCTAAAATGGCGAGTGCCGTTTATGAACAGCAACCCGCTCCTGGACTGCCACCATCCAGCCGTTTATATACAGCGACCGGACAGGAAGTGGTTAATTGATATAGGGGAGTTTTAATGACAAATTACAGGAGCATCAAAAACTCGCAATTATTTCTTACAATTTTCAGAAGGTATCAATTATTTTGTCCAGTCCATTTTTGGGGTTTTGCGTGAAAAGAGTTTTTTTCCACTTTTTTGTGTCATACCAATAAAAACAAAACAAGTAAACACGAGATGATTGCGTGAATCATTTGTATTTGCAACAATTTTCTGGGTGAAGTGGTGCGTTATCTGGCAGAAATGGGGGGGGGGGGGGCAATATATTTTTTACCCATGCCTGCAGATATACTGTTGTGTGTGTATATATATATATATATATACACTTATATACACACATCACCAGCCACAGGCATTGCAGCACAGCACTAGGATCTTCTTCCCCAGCACCCATTTGTGAAGGATGCTTCAGTATAGACAGGGGATATTGCCATGGCATTGCCTTGGAGAGCTCACCCACATGGAAGAAAAAAATATTTTTAAAATATTCTTCCCAAAAATGTTGACATATATTTGAATTGCTACAATTTTGGCTATATTATATATATATCTGCATGTCAAAAGTTGTTTTTATTACAAAATATATGAAAAATATCTTTAAAAATACAAATCTACATTTTTGGAATACATTTACAAATATATGTAAAAATAAATGTTAAAAATACTTTTTTTATGTTAAAAAAATTCTGAAATAATATATTCATATATTTTGTAATATATAAAAACACATTTTCAACATGCAGTGTATATGTGTGTATTTTATTTATAATTTTTTTGTTGTGTTTGTGTGTATATATATTGTGTGTGTGTGTATATATGTGTCTGTATATATATATATATGTGTGTGTGTGTGTGTATATATTGTTTTGTGTGTGTGTGTGTGTGTGTATATATGTGTGTGTGTATATTTATATGTGTGTGTGTATTTATGTGTGTGTGTGTGTGTGTATATGGTGTGTGTTTTGTTTTATATGTTTTTTTATATAGTATGTCATGGCCGTAAATTTTTGGCAATTTGTGTGTATATTTTTTTTCCTGAAAATCAAGTATTTGGTGTGTTTTTATAGGTTTTGCATGTTTAACACATGTATTTTTTTGTTTATTACACATGTTTATTCCCTTTGTATGTATTGGAACAAATATGGGGGGCAGAATAAGCAAAATGTGACATAATGTCACACAAAACCCCAAAAATGGGCTGGACATTGTTATTGGGGGTTTGTTTTTTTTTTAATATTTGGTGTTTTTTTTGTTTTGTTGTGTTTATAACTTGAAATTTGCAGTTTGTCCTAATTGTGTTTCAATGCTTCTGACACCTCATCTCCCGGTGAGTTTTTTGACCACTGTTCCTTTGCAAACAGCTCCAGTGTTGTCTTATTGGGGATTTGGGTAGGTGTTGTTTTTCCCAACTGCAATTTTAAGATCTCTCCACAGTATATGTTTCAATGGGATTTATTTGGGCTTTGTGGTTTTTTCAGAACTCTCCAGCGCTTCATTTTGCCATCCATTTCTGAGTTTTTTTTGACGTATGTTTTGGGGTCATTGTCCTGCTGGGACCCAGGATCTTGGACCGCAAAGTTTTTTGTGACACTGGGCCCTACAGTGGACCCAAAATCCTTTGGTAATCCTCAGATTTCATGATGCCCATTTGTGTGTTTATTTTATTTGTGTTGAGGCAGCAAAACAACCCCAAAACATCATTGAACCTCCACCATATTTTTGTGTTGTACTGTGTTTTGTTTTTTGTGTGTTCGATTTTCCGTTAATTGTTGTAGTTTTTATTTTAATAATGTGCTTTACCGAGTAAAGCTCTATCTTGGAGCTCATCTGTCCACAAGACGTTTTTAAGATTGTTTTTTTGGCTTACTCAAGTTTTTTTATTTTGGCAATTTTGTAGTATTTGTGTTTTTTTAGTTTTTGGCAGCAGTGGGGTCCTCCTGGGTCTTTTGCCATATTTTTTCATTTCATTTAAATGTCGACGGATAGTTGTGCTGTGTGTATATTTGCTTGTTTGAGCCTGCAGGACAGCTTGAATGTTTTTGGAACATGTTTGGGGCTGTTTTTCCACCATCGGTTTTTTCTGCGTTGCAAATTTTTTCATCAATTTTCCATATTTTTCCACGATATTATAGTGCCATGGGTTGCAAACTTCTTGATAAATTTTGCGCACTGTGGGACAAAGGCCAAATCTAGTAGCTCTGGAGGGATTTTTTGTACCTTGAGATTGTTGATTATTTTGCCACAATTTTGGTTTTTCAGGTCCTCAGACATATTTTTCGTACATTCTTTCTGTTGTCCATGCTTAGTGTTGGCACAGACAGACACAATGCAAAAAAAGTGAACGTCTCTCCTTTTTATCTGCTTTCAGGTGTGATTTTATATTGCCCACACCTGTTATCTTGCCAAGGTGAGTTTTTGGAGCATCACATTTTTTGTAACATTCTTATTTATTTTTGTGAAAGGGTGGCCAATACTTTTGTCCATTAATTTGCCTTTTTTTTTGTTTTTTTTGGTTTTTTGACATTATGTCTGGTTTTGCTTTCTTTCCTCCCTTTTTTTTTTTTTTGTCACCAATTCACACCAAAGGGAATAAATTTTTTTTTTTGTGTGTGTGTGTTTGTATATATGTTTTTGTTGTGTGTAGTTTTATGGTTTTTGTGGGTTGTGTATATTTGTGTGTGTGTGTGTGTGTAGGTGTGGGGTGTATATATGTTGTTTGTGGGTTGTGTATATTTTGTGTGTGTTTTTGTGTGTTTATGTGTGTGTGTGTGTATATATATGTTGTGTTTTTGTGTGTTTTTGTGTGTTGTGTGTGTATATATGTGTGTTTGTTGTGTTTTTATATTTGTTTGGTGGTGTTGTATATTATGTGTGTGTGTGTGTTTTGTGTGTGTTTGTTTTTATGTTGTTTTGTTATTTTTGTTTGTGTTTTTTATATGTTTATGTGTGTGTGTAGTTTTTGTGTTTGGTTTTTTTGTGTGTGTGTGTTTTGTGTTTTTTTTGTTTTTTTTTTTGTGTGTTTTTTTTGTTTTTTTTTTGGTTTTGTTTTGTTTTTTTTTTGTGTTTTGTTTTTATTTTTTTTTTTTGTTTTTTTTTTTGGTGTTTTTTTTTTTTTTTTTGTGTGTTGTGTTTTTTTATTTATATTGTGGTGTGTGTTGTGTGTGTGTGTGTTTATATTGTGTGTGTGTGTTTTTATATTTTTGTTGTGTTTTTTTTATGTGTGTGTGTATTTTGTGTCATTCATACATTTTCCAATATATAAAAACGCATTTCAACATGAGATATATATATATATATAATTTATTGAAATATATATTGAATACAGCCAAAATTGTAGCATTTCATAAATATATCAATATATTTGGGAAGAATTTTTTTTAAATATATTTCAAATATGTTTTTTTTCCATGTCGGCAATCCTATGACACCCCCATATATATAAACATATATCCCGTCAGAAGATAAAATACTTCCCCTCTTTTTATAAATTCTCTCTCGGCCAGAATGAAGCTCCCAGAAAGTTTTGTAAACACAGCTGAATTCTGGGGACGGCGGCCAGACTAAGACGCACTGCACTTCATCAACTCGGAGATGTCTGTGTTCTGCGTGTGTCGCTTCTAGACAATCCCTCCCATTGTCACCTCGTCTGGAAACACAAAAGGATGATTCTTTATCCGGCTACAAATCAATAAAATGGGGCCACACTCAGTGATCGGCGTGGA